AAATATAATAATGTATATGTTGTGTACATGTATATATTACCTGGAGTTGGCGGACAAACAAGCTAGCATCTGCACCACTCCTGATATCGGGATATGTGACAATCTCCATGAGGCCGCAACCCGCGCGATTGAGATCGATAAGGACCGAACTGTCTGTGTGCACAGATTTGCCTGTGTCTGTTTCCAGCTGTATTCGCTCTAACCGCACTGTGTAAATAGGATATGTAAAGTGTGTTATACAAGGTATGATCTATGAAAAATGCAATGTAGTATGGTATGTAAAATATGATATAAAATACAATATGTAAAGTATGTTATATAAAGTATGATATGCGAAGCATTCTAAGAAGTATGATATGTGAAGTGCGCTATATACAGTATGATATGTGAAGTGTGTTATATTAAGTATGATATGTAAAGTGTGTTATAGAAAGTACGATATGAAGTATGGTATGTAACGTATATTATATAAAGTATAATATGTGACTTATGTTGTGACTTAAAATATATATAAAGCACGCTATATAAAAGATATTATAATAATACAAGTATATCATGCGTGGTACTGCTTAAGCTAGGCGCGAGTCCAGATATTGCGCTTGTCCGTGGTAGGGCCCCTTCCCATTGAGCTTACTAGTTATGTAGCAGAACATCTGCACCAAAGGTACATGCATGCATATACAGATATGCTTATTCACCTGAATATACATGCAAAAACAGATATGCATTCACTTGAATATGCATGCAACGACAGATATGCTTATTTACCTGAATATACATGCGCGTACCATTTCTCATGTACTACCTTACGAGCACCTCGGCATACATTCGTGCGCGTTATACATGTAAACGTGGGACGCTACCGCCTCTTGATGGTATTCACGTCCTTCGTTAAGTGAACTTAACAGCCATGCATGGTTATAGCACGTATCCATGGTAACACAACCACACATAGTTCGAACTATCTCGACGCACAGTGCTTGCCAACTGCATCACGGCAGGGCTTCAAACCCTACCACACGCCCTGGAGAACCACACACTCCTATCATACACCATGTACACAGCTCATTCTATATATAGATTCAAAATTACATACACCATGTACACAGCTCATTCTATATATAGATTCGAAATTACATACACCATGTACACAGCTCATTCTATATATAGATTCGAAACTACATACACCATGTACACAGCTCATTCTATATATAGATTCGAAATTACATACACCATGTGCACAGCTCATTCTATATATAGATTCGAAATTACATACACCATGTACACAGCTCATTCTATATATAGATACGAATCACGGGGCACGCCTACAAAGGAGAGTGGCACATACACACCTCTACGTATGTGCACTCGTAGGACAAGATCAATGCATAGATAAATACAGGAGGAAATGTATTGCAATTATACATACACACACAATAAAACAATCGCACACTTTCACAGACACAGAGGCTATAAAGGTATCCTAAAGTAGGCTATAGACACATACACGCATACGGGCATGAGTAAATGAGTGGTGCTGATCGATTCAATGTACCTGTAGTTGTCACAGGCGTATCCGGAGTGGCTGCTGTTGTTGGGCTACCCTTGAGCACTATCTATTAAATCCAGAGTACAAGTGGTGTCAGATGTAGTTTGAAAGCATTCCTCTCGCACTTAACGGGATGGAATAGCCGGTTCACTGCTTCTCAGCGTACAATATATATATATAAATATATAAATATATAAATATATATATATATATATATATATACATATACATATATATATATATATATATATATATATATATATATATATATA